GGATCCTCTCCTCCCCTTCACGGGTCGCCACGCACGGCAAACACGTGGGTGGATATTTAGATCCCAGAGAAAGTAACTGAAAATACAGAACCTTCCCTGGGAGGTCCCCTCACCACGTACAGGAATCCACGTTGAGGGGTTATCTTTAGGTCTAAACACATACATCAGAAATGGAATGGAATGATAGCTTACAATAAAGTACAATAAAATTTTAAGCACTCACAATTTCTCTCTCATACACACACGTATATATATATATATATATATATTGAAAAAATTGTTTATGTCTACTAGTTCTACCTGGCACTTAAATAAAATACTCATTTCTTGTATTTATCAAGTCTCCAACATATCAATAACTAATACAATATTCTATTCTACAGAAACATTATTTTATATAATTTTACTGGACAAAGTTTCTAAGTCTTGTAAGGTAAGATTATTTTCAATTTATATCAAACAGTGGGTACTGTCAGAAGCTGTAACTGGATACTATCTAAATTTTAGAGTATACTCTGGTAAAAAGGGATCTGTATTTTCCAAGGGCTTAGCTTACACAACTGTAATGACTCTGATCAAAAAGTATCTAGAAAGGGGAAACTCACTTTTACTGGCAACTTTTATACTTCTCCAACTCTATTTGATAAGTTTATTTCACTTGGCATTTATGCACTTGTAGGAAGGACAGGGCCCACTTCCCAGATATTTTTTCAAGTAAGTTAAAAGGGGGAGGTTGCACAGTGCCACAGCAATGGAACTTACAAGATTAGTAAGTCACAGCTAATTGTGGACTACAACAAGTTCATGGGAGGGGGTTGATCTTAATGATCAATTTCTCAGCCATTCCATGTAAAACTGTGAAACCATATAATAAGCTTTTATTTAAACTTGTTGACCTGTCTAGTGTTAATTCTTTCATATTTTTTAAACAAGTTACTAACAGAACTTCCACTTACAATTAGTGAAATCCCTTGTGAGGCCTTCTCATTTGTCAAGTATTCAGTCACCAGTTCTGGCAAACACACATGAACAACTCTCAACCGGGAAGCACTTCCTAGCACTTACTGAAGAAAAGGTGCAGATTGTGCTTCCACAAAAGTTTAAGTAAAATGATTTGCAAGCAGTACATAGTTCATCTGTGTGTAAGGCACTTTGAACAGTATTATACTTCTAAGACTCTTCAAAGAAGTTAACTTTCTTTCTACCAAAGCCAGTGATGGCTAATTATGTTTTTCTAATTTTTGCATTTGTTACAAATTTTCTGAAAATAAAACCAGGCATCACATTTCTAGTGCTCTTATTAGAAAAAAAAAGTAAAACTCAGTCTGATCTCTTTTACTTTCTATTTAATATCTTTTCTTAAAAACTAAAGTTTCTTTGGTAGAGGTTTGATGTTTATAACACCTTGCTTTTTTTAAATATTTGTGTTTGAGTTACACCATCACTCAGCATTTATATTTAGGTTTTTCAAACGTAATTCTATTTTAAAGTTTTAAAACTTTCACATTGCATTCATTTTCTAAATGTTTATTTCACTTTTTGTAAAGCCAAAATTTTTACAAGGACATTCAATTTTTTCTGTACCATGAATAAATTTTTTATTTCTTATACATAACTGTACAACTTTACAGTTTGTATATAAGCTCTTCACAGTTTGATTTCAACTACTGATCTACACTTGGTTATTCATATTCAAATAACAATTTTAGTTTTCCATCTACTCATGATTTGTATAAAAAATGTATAATAACATTTTCAATGTACATATACATAAAGTGTAAAAATGTTCAGTTTGCATGCAAGTTCTTAACAGTTTGGTATCAACTACTGACATGTCGTTGTCTATATATCTCAGTATAGCTTTTTAGTAACAGTGTTAAACTAATTTTCACTTATTTTTGCAGGGCAAGATAAAATGGGAACAATAGGAAATGGGTTAATAGATGAGGCTGTAACTTATCACTCCCCCATAAAACATAACACTAATAACATCAACAACAAAAAAAAAAAACAGTTAAAGAAACATCACCTATACTGACCAAAAGTAATATCATTTACTAACAACAAATAAAACTACAAGAGTTAAAAATTAAACTTAGTAATTTTTCCATCCTAAGTAATAAATTCCTTACTTTTGATGTTTATATGCTTGTTTGGCTCTTCAACACTCCATATGATGATACCAGTATCCAGACTTCCAGTTGCTAAGTGTTGGGAATCTGGAGTCCAGGATATAGAGTTTACACGAGCAGTGTGAAAACACCAATCCAAATTGTGGGCAAGCTGTAAGAAAAAGATATTGGTAATGTTAACTATGCTGATTGGACAAGAAAATAATGTAAAATTGTGAAAATTAGTAACCTAATAACATAACCTTGTGTAATGGACTACTTTATTATAAAGAGCAATATTTCAATTATAAATGCAGTGTATAAGATGTAAGAGAAGCATTATGGTAAACTAAATATGAAACAAAATATACTAATATCTATTGCTACCACTAACAATTTAAATGTTGAAAAAGGAACACCATTGTAACTCCACACTCTCCCCCTTCACAAGGCATTCTTTTAATTGTTTACAATAGTGCTTTACGTAGCTATACAAGTATTATACATAACATCAAACACACATACACAAACATAAATTTTTTTATTTATTTAAAATATAAAAACATGATTACTGTTCTATAAAACATTTTAAAACCAGATCTTAAGAGCTGGATCTTAGTATTGTTTATTCCTCAATTATAACCTTTATAATGATTAGCTTATACCTGTCTCGTGACCAGTTTGACAACAGAAAACAGGATAGTTTAAATTTTCATTGTGTCATCTCTGATGAACAGATTATAACACAGCTTTCATTTCTCTCTTGCTATGTTTTGGAAAAAAAACACTTCTTTCAAAACATTACAAGTAATAGTAAAAATGTTCTTTGTTACCAACTGTGTTCATAAAGTCTACATTTCCTTAGCCTACATCCAACTTCTAAATATTATACATGCCATGCATACATATAAATTTTTGTTGTTGTTCAAGTTGGTTTTATACATATATGACTTACCTATAAAATAAAGATATTTTCAATCCAACAAAAATTAGTCGTAAATAAATTACGCAAAACCGTATTATCAAAAGTTTGGTAATGTGTTACGAACCTTTGAAAGTAATCTGTAAACTGGAAGCATAAGGAGTAAAAGCGAGGCTACAATATAATACACTGATAATAAGAGAGGTTAATACAAGTGAACAGAAACAATTATTATATATCCCATTTTTAGTTGTTTGTACTCTATTTATAGACTACAGACTAATAAACACAAGACACGTAAGAGGTAGAGTACAATCTAATATACTGACCACAAGACACGTAATAATTAAAGTACAATCTAATATACTGACCACAAGACACGTAAGCATTAGAGTACAATCTAATATACTGACCACAAGACACGTAAGCATTAGAGTACAATCTAATATACTGACCACAAGACACGTAAGCATTAGAGTACAATCTAATATACTGACCACAAGACACGTAAGCATTAGAGTACAATCTAATATCATGTTACATGTCTTGTGGTCAGTTAGAGTACAATCTAATATACCGATCTCGATTTGTACTGTCCTATATTGGTGCAAATTTTCAATGCTCACCACCAGTCTTCCACCTCCCATTTCTGCATATCCACATGTAAGAGATTATGCAGTAGCACTCCTCCAATAGGAGTGTAACACCACCCCTATCGTAAACAGCACCCTCTCTACATTTGCACTTGTTAATCACTTCAAGATTGGTCAGAAGACCTATACCACATACCATCGGAAGTGGGGATGTTGGGTATCAAATGTGACAGTAGGTAACTATCTATCAAAAATATATTTTCAGTTTAGGAAAATGTTAACTTCCGATACGATATCTAACATTCTCTCACAAAACAGCTAGAATCTCACACTGAACTGGTGGAGGGGCTAGTGAAATAAAATGATCCCCATTTAGGAAGCACTAAAAGAGAGACCATGAGGTGTGGAACCAAAAAAGAAAATATCACACCTCAGAGGGAGACTGCACCACATCTGATCCAGGTGGAAAAACATGAAGGAATCCCATAATACATATTACCAATTAATGTGATCCCTGGGTGTTGAGTGGCTAGGACACGACAGACTGTAGTGGTAGTTTGACCTCATCCAACAACTGGTGGAATCTGGAATTGGACATCAGTTTCGTGGTAGGCAGATGATCACCTACCTCTTCACCTCAAAATGGGAATTGGTAGGGAACAACAAGCTTTCATATCAAAATCTGTCTCCACTTGCATGCATTCCCAACACAACCAACACCTGATCCACCAGGAACCGACATTTAGCAGATGGTAGGAAAGAGGAAAGGCTTCACTGGGATGACTTCTCTGGTCCAAAACCTGGCAGCATTGAGTATGGTTCTTCCAGTCCGAGGTAGGAGGAGGATGATACCTGGCCATACACAAGTGGGAATACATGTGCTGCATCCAGCTACAACCAATACCAGATCCACTGGGAAGAGGGACCACAAACCTGGTGGCAATGGGCATTTTCCATCCAAAACATTATACCAGCCAGAACATGTGAGAACCAACATAGCTGGACCATCTCCAACCAACACCTGACCCCCACCCCAGAACCCACATCCATAGGAGGGTAGGTAGGAGGAATATCTCAGTCTGAGAGACAAATTGCAATATATATATATATATATATATATATATATATGTATGTGTGTATGTATGTATGTGTATGTATGTATAGTATGTATGTATGTGTGTGTGTGTCTGCGTAGTAC